AGTTCACCCAATGATTATTATTAGGATTCTCCATCAAACCTCTGACACCTCTCGGTTGTGAATTATTTTTTACATTGGGGCTTGATAGGTAACCCTGTGGTAAATGCCGCTGACCTATTATACTGTGGGCAACAGATGAGTAATATTTCTCGCCTACTGGTCGAGGGAGATTTAGTATTAATCTTTGCTCTGTTACCTGCCAATATTGTTGAGACCTGAGGTATATCGACAAGTACATAAGCCTAAGGTASGGTTTCAAGTAATGAAAGTGTTTTTAAAATATTTAATGATGATTTAACTCCATATTTTTCGGCCACACTTTTCCTTYTTTYCCCGCCATTTTGACTTAGCTCACCTAGTGTATAAGATTAGAAGTAAGTCTTATCTTAAAAGCTTGGGATCGTAAGAGGGCGATTGCTTTAGGGTATATGTGTTCACAAAAGCTTTAATACGAATTCTGTTTGTGTGCGTAGGGCATCTTCTGGTTCACTTAGATCGAAAGTTCAAAGTGCATGTATATCAATGATTGTGTCACATGACATTCTTGTTTAAACAGGATGGGAAGGCATTCTAAGGAGGTCAGAGAAGCATATAAAAAGAAAAGAAAACAACTGATAAACATTGGAGAAAAGAAGGAAAGTAGTACTGAAAATGGTCGAACTGCAGTTACAAGTAATGAAGATGACTTTTTTGGAGTTGGTGAAAACCACCAGAAAGTAGGAGATGAAGAGAGGCATGATGGAAGAGATGGCAGAAGAAATGAACAAAGAGATGAACAAATAAATGAGTCTAGGTACCAAAATAAATGGGGTCGAAGTCTACCTTACTTTTTACCACAATTGTAAATTTTCTCGCGCGCTGATTGGTTAAAAAACGTCGTTAATAAGAGGCCATACCAACAAATGGCGTCATGCTAGATTTCGTACAGTCTATTTCCTAGAGTTTTGTGAGTTTTGTAGTAAAAAACAAATTTACGATGGTTTAGCGTGGTATGTCCTCTTATTTACCACGATATGACGTCAAAAGTTGGTCAAAATTAGTTATGGACCCACTCGTCTTACGCCTCGTGAGTCCATAACATTTTGACCAACTTTTGACGTCATATCKTGGTAAATAAGAGGACATACCACGCTAAACCATCGTAAATTTGTTAAGTTTACCTTATAAGAAGGATTATCTATGTTTGTCAATGGTAGAATACTTCAAACATAAGAACAAGCTTCATAAATTGAAACAAAAACCGCTAGGGGAAAATCAATAACAAGTTTCTTTTGTGGAAAT